TTGCAGTCTTCAACAGCCGCTTCCAGATTCGTTTCTTTGCAACCTCCATGCACACCGTTCCCCTCTACCCTGACTGATCCAGTAACTGTGTCATTCCTTGAGCCTAATCCAAAGATATTTTGAGGGACCAACTTATCATCAAAAAATAGTTCTGAATCAAACTTTGTAAAAGGATCCACAGAAGTTGCAAAATTAGTCATGTCAGAGGCCAAATGGGTGCCAGAATGGGAGGGTTGACGAGTATAAAGAGGCTGATTTTCCTGAGTGCAAGCGTTGGAAACCAAATTTGCTATTTGGCTGTGGGGATATTCTGGCACAAGAGACCCTTGGGGGCCCACTGCCTTTCTTGACGACTCAATGCAAGGAATCTGGCTTTCCAACCCAGTTCGTAAGCTGGGATTACCCTCTACTGCACCACTTATAAATCCATTACTGATACAGCCGTTTGCTACCTGAGGAGAAACAGATGTTTCGCCAGATGGGACCCCTTGAAATGGGCTATGAGCATTTCTCCTTAAAGCATGCACAGGTATATGACCATGAGGCACCTGGTACAAATTATCGGCTCCATATGCATAGTTAGGAACTTGAATCTGAGATCCAGATGCCAAAGTTTGGTCTTGTAACACTTGACTTCCGAAGTCTGCCCCAGCTCGGACATAACGTGGGTCTTCACGATGGGTATAAGGAGATTGCACGTGGTGCTCATCACATATATTACCATGCCCAAGAGGAATACTCGTGCCATTATCCACAATGTAGCGTTCAATAGGTCTTGCAGGCATGGAAACATGCAGTTCCTCAGGCAGAGGAACAGATTGATGCAGTAATACCCGTCCTCTTTCGTGACCATGAGTCTCATTATACAGTGCTCGAGGATCAGTTGGATCCCTCGAGCAGTATGGATGGTGCGTGTTAGCATCTGCATTCAGCATGTACATTTCCTTGTTTGGGGGACATTCAGCATAAGTATTAGGAATTGCATGATATCCATTCCCCAAGTTTGGTGGCTCTAAATGTGGCTGTTCTCCAGGCTTCCAAAGGGAATCAGGATAGACTTGATTTCTTTGAAATGTCATTCGACAATGCTCGCATATACTGTTTCCTTCATAAACATTGTGGCCATGAAGTATGTTACCAGGAAAACCAGCCCTTTCTGTGTACTGTGGCTGCTGATCGTGTATTGACTGATGATGCATTGGAGGTAGATTGTGTTCCTCAGGCATTCTATCAAAACTTTTGTCTAGAAACTCCCCATATGGAGTCCGGTAACGAACAGATGAAGGCGAAGGTGGAAAATCAACTACTGGTCTTTGGTCAAGGTGCCCGGGTTGCCTGGGCGAATAGTATGCAGGACTCCATGGAGCTTCCATTTGGGGTAACCCCGAACCCATATGAGGAATTGTAAGATTTGCTAAGTTTACTGGAGGCATTGACAGCTCTGGATTCCTCTGACCATGGATGCCAACATCCAGATTCATCTGATTAAAATACTGCTCGGTAACATAAAGATCATCTAACAGCTCCATCTCCAGAGACTCGGCAGACTGATTCCTGAATTCGGGAGTTTCATTAAGGTTGTTCAATGCATCCACATACCTCCTCTCGTTATCCCTTTCATCACCATCACCAAAATGCACTGAGCCATCTTGATCAGAATGCGAAAACAAAAAAATCCTTAACCTCGTTATCCCATCACCCGAGCCTAACTTGTCGTACTCTTCCATCATATTAGTAACATCATCATCATTCACAACTGAAACAAGAGCATCAAGATCCTCCTCGGGCTGCTGATATTTTAACATGGTGGCCCCTTCAAAAAGATCCCTCATCCTCCCCATGAGATCCTCGTAGCTGATATCTCGCGGGACACTCACAATTCGCGTATCACCACCTACATATCTGAGTTTCCCATCGTGAGGACGTGGTAATATACTACCGGAAAAGCTACATAAGAATTTAACCCTTGGATTTTCATCGTTAGAGCTCCGGGCTGAGCCTGGCGTCTCTGCAGGGCTACCCATCAAGTCCAGAGTTTGCTGTTGATGATCAGTAAATGAGTACACAAGTTCCAAATTTGATTTTCTTAAATTTTCATCCCCTGTTGTAGTACACATTAGCTACTTTCATGATTACGCAAGAACCCGATTGCTCACTTCTCCGATTTCACCAACCGAAAACCCAAAATTCACCTTTTATTTAGCCCAAAATCAAATCTTTTTCTCTGCAACTGAAAAAGGCCCTATAATTTTATATCAAATTGTCCAATAAATTAAAACCATCTAATTATAACAGCCCAAATCGGTGCACCAAAATCAAAACTTTCAAGCTGAGTTTCATTCACCCTAATAAACCAAAATTTCTAACGAAAGAATCGGACTTTATGCGAAAACTGATTGAGTACCTTAAAACAAAACTATAGGCATAAAGGATAAATCACATAACAATGAGTACCTGAAACTGGGCATTCAGAACACAGGAGCCTCGAAGTTTTACTAAACCTAAATTCAAGAAACTCCAGAAATCCCTCCTAAAGAAAATTCTTGAATCTTTATTGCGGCTTTATATAAAAAATTAAACCCCAAAAAAGACTATAATTATTCACCTACAAATATTAAAAAAAAAAAAAAAGGAAAAGGAAAACGAGGTATATCATAAATGCTAGCTGGATGTATTTATATGATTATAAAAATTGTTTTTGTTCGATAGAAAAAAATAATAATGAAAAAGAAAGAGAGATAATTCTGGAGGGAGGGCAGGATGCCATTGCAGAAGCTGCCAGGTGCATGGACACGTGGTAGTTTTTGGGTGCTTCGTATCCAAGGCACAATTTATCGCTCCTTGAGTATATTCCACACGCACTATGTAAGACCGTGAACTTTTTCACTCTTATATTTTTTCTTTACTCCTCGTCACCGGCGGATCTGGGGTGGCTTGGGGGCACGTGCCCTCCCAGATTTTGAAATTTTTTTTTTTATAAATATGAAATAAAAAAACTAGAAGTTAGAAACCCACTCCCAAGTCCTAACCTCGTTCACTCCTCTCCCAACTCTCTCAAGTCCTCCACTCACGTCTCAGTCCCAGCCTCTCTCCCAACTCCCCTCCTCCACTCAGCCCCAGCCTCTCCCAACTCCCGTTTGGCTTGTCTCCTCCGTCTCTAAGCTCCACATGTCCTCTCTAGTCTCTCCTACGGGCTCGACAATCACATTGCACCACTCTCCGCATCAGCGCCTCCCCCGTTCCAACTTCCAAGCTCCACCCGGTCCTCACTAGTCACTCCTATCTGAGTTAAGTTCCGGCTGACTCACAGACTGCACAGTGCACTCTCATTCTCTCGGTCTCAAACCCTCAGATTAACTTGTTTGTATAATGTATTTGTGTTTCTTATTGAGGTAAATGAATTGTGTTATTGTTTGTTATTGAGGTAAATTTATTGAGTGTATTGCTGGGTTTCAAATTGTTTTCTGATTTAGGGATTTAGGGTTTTTTTGAGAAATTGATAGTGATTTACAGATTTAGGGTTTTTTGGAAATTGATAGTGATTTACTGATTTAGGGATTTAGGGTTTTTTGGAAATTGATAGTTAGAGATTTCTAATTAGGGCTTTTAGGGAGTTAGGGATTTTGATGAATTTCATTTATTGAGAAGGCAATTGCCAATTCTAATTTAGGAAATTGATAGTCTACAAGCTTGTGACATTAACGTTAGTTTTTCCCGGGAGCTACTGCTATTTCCTACGATGACTTTTGTCAAAAATCGTTTGCGCAATCGAATTGGAGATCAATGGTTGAATGATAGTTTGATTGCATATATTGAGAAAGATGTATTTGACAATATTGAAAATGATGTAATTATGAAA